GCAGAGCACAAGTATAAAGAGGAAGAATTAAGGGAATGGGTACCTAACGGTCTAGTGGAGCAGAGGTGAGTGTGTAAATGGTTCCTAGAGAAAGACAATGGCAGATGGCCAGGACTGGTAGGGACTGAGTTTGGGAGGGCATTTCAGACTAAGCAGAGGGTACTATAGATACAAAGACAGGAATATGTTGTCATTGGCATAAATAAATGAGTTTCCTTTTCTGTGATTGTCAGGCAACATATGATATGATATGAATTATTTTAAGTTCAAAGCAAGGACATTTTGGGTGCCTGGGTGGCTCAGTTGGTCAAGCGTCTGCCTTTGGCTCAGGTCATGATCCCAGGGTCACGGGCTCAAGTACTGCATCCAGCTCCCTGCTCAGCAGGGAGTCTGCAGCTCCCTGTCCTTCTACAGCAGACCACCCCCCCACGTTGTGCTCTCTCTCTCTCAAATAAATAAATAAAATATTTTTTTTAAGTGAAGACATTTTATTTTACTATTTAAAGATTTTATTTTTAAGTAATACACCCAACTTGAACTCACAATCTCAAGATCAAGCATTGCATGCTCTACTGACTAAGCCAGCCAGGTGCCCCAAAGTGAGGACATTTTAAATACGTTAAGGCGAAAACTGCTATATGTCATTATCTGTAGTGTGGGAGTGAGATTGGGGAACAAGTTTGTGAAGCTGGAGTGAAGGGAGTACCCAGATAATGTGGAGATAAAGTAGGCCATGTCAATGTGGCAGTGAGAGGGCAAAGAAGAAGGGGTAAGAAAGTTATGGGGGTATTCTCCATTTAAATCAGCAAGGTTAATTAACACCTTAAAACTAAACTCTCTCACTAACCTCAGCTGTCAGGACTCCAGTCAGGAGTTTTCTTTGTGGCTTCTGTTCTTGAAGGTGAGGTACAACAGTGTGATAGTAAAACACAATCACACAAGACCCATGTCTACTATTCATGATCTCATTCGCCATTTTCCAAGCAGGATATTTTTCCTCCACATTGGGACAAGTATTTTGTGGTCACAAAATAGGAAAATGTTGGCCAAAATATTTTAAATCTCTTAAGCCTGTGGATTTGCACATTAATTAATTTTCCCTATTAAAGTTATTGCAATGAGTCAAAGGCAGGTTAATTCAGCCCAGTGCTCAATGTTTATCTCTGCAGGTCACAAAGTCACCCCCCCCCACCTGTCCTGCAAATGATCAGGACTTAGAGTTTAAACCCTTTTTTTCTCCTTTTAATGACATTATCCCATGCTCAGTGTATCCCGTGCTCACTGAAGAATGCTACGTTAAGGGCAGCAGGCTTACCCAAAGCTAAGTGTATTAGTAAGCACCATTAGCAAGCACGGACAGAAAGAAAATGGCTGTGGGAGATTTAGTCACAGTGTCTGCCATTGAGTTTACATTTCCTACCATTTGATTCTCAACTGAGGAAGAGGCATCAGAAATACCGTAGCAGTATTTGCCATCAACAAGAGGGCAAACAAGTTTTCGTATCTGATTCTGACTGCAAGACACACAGGTGAGGCTCAATAAGACTGAATATAAAGGTCAACTTCTTCTGATTATTCTTGTAAAAGCAGCTCAATCCATAGAAAGGAAGTGGCATTTTCCCAAAGATATGATTAATGTGATGCCAGGTTCCTTTTAAACCCTTTTACAGAGTCCTTTTTTCTTTAAAGAAATGGCTAGATAGTTTTCAGGATTTTCTTTTGTTATAACATAATATAACATAATTTCTTTGACCTGATCATCCTGTAAGCATAACTCTTTGTGCCTTATATCTATTATAATTTCATCACATTGACTTTAAAAACTAATGTCAGAGCACTTACAGAATGGAAACACAAGGAGCTCCCTATATATACTCTCCCCAGTGAAACAACCTCAACTCATGAAAATTATAAATAAAAATATAACCATTCATCAGACCCTGGAGCCATTTATAGCCCAGGGTATTGTCAGAAGCACTGGGGCAATCATTTGCCAATTAGTGGAGACTAACAGCTAGGAGTAGTATTAATAGAGGCAAACCAGCCCAAAACTGGATAGGGACATAAGGAAAAGAGTCAGAGAACCTGACTAAAACCACTGTCATCCCCCAGGGGAGGGAGAAGGAGTCTGGGTGTCAGCCTAGGGAGATGCGCCAAAGCTCTGGGGAGACATCAGAGCCTGCACACTCTGGGAGAAATAAACTCCCCTCAACTTGTCTGGCCAAGTCACTCAACAAATAAAGAAGCGAACAACAATGACAACAAACGTTGGAGCCAGTCTGGATCAGTCTCCATAGTAGCTACAATGGAAACCTACAGCTTGCAACAAAAAAACAGTGAGACATACAAACATGCAACTGAGCCCCATGCACGCAGAAACTGCCTTTGAGAGGATGCAGATGTTGGACTTAGCTGACAGGAAACAATGCTTATGAGTGCAGATTTGGAATTCTTCAACAAAATACTAGCAAACTGAATGGAGCAACACACAAAAAGGATGGTAGGTCACAACCTGTTGGGATTTGTCCTAGGAATGCAAGGTTTGCCTACATCCAAAAGTCAATTAATGTGACATACCATATCAGTAGAATAAAGGAAAAACGAGATTATCTTAGTAGATAGAGAAAAGGCACTAAACGAACACCAGCACTCTTTCAAAATAAAATAGTCTAACATCTGTCTGGCTCAGTAGGTGGAGTGTGGGACTCGATCTCCATGTCTTGAGTGTAAACCCCATGGTGGCCACAGAGCTCACTTTAAAACCAAAGAAAGAAGTAAAGTCAACAAACCAGGAGTAGAAGTTCCTCAACCTGACAAAGGGCATCTGCAAAAAAAAGGAAAAAGAAAATCTAGAGTAATCACATGTGATGTGTAAGACTGAAAACTAGCCATATAAGATTGAGAATAAGACAAAAATGTTCACATGCTCCTCTTTATTCAACATAGTACTAGAAGTTCTAGCTAAGGCATTCAAGCAAGAAAAAGAAATAGAAGGCAACCAAATTGGAAAGAGATAAATCAATTTGTATTCTAAAATGGCATAATCTGGTATACAGGAAATTCTAAGGGACTCACCAAAACACTATCAGAACTAATGAGTTCAGCAAGCTTGTAGGACATGGGATATATGCAAAATTAGTCTTCTATACACTGGCAATGAATAATCAAAAAATGAAATTAGGATGGGAATATAAATTGATGTAGCCACTATGGATAACAGAATGAAGGTTCCTAAAAAAATAAAAAATAGCAGTATGATAAGATGCAGCAATCTCAGTTCTGGTTATTTAGCCAAAGAAAACAAACACTACCTTGAAAAGATATTGCACCCCATGAAGCATTATTTACAATAACCAAGACATGGAAACACATATTTACTATAGATTCTTATTGATGACAAAGTAAGCAATAAGCCTCCTCTGAAAATAGTAATTACCTTCAGAGCATGAGCAGGCCAATGATGAAGGATTTTTCAAACTTCTAAGAATCCAAAATAAAAAGCTCTTCATGCCATACCTTTCTAAATTCTCATTTCCCATATAACATAAATTTCCTTTTGTCACAAGCATACTAAATTTTCTATTAATCCAATTAAAATTTCACACTCTCACTTCAGAAATAGTTTATATTTCATAGCTAATTGATTCATATTTAACATGTTGATACAGGTCCCCAATTCTCAATCCTCTGATACCAAGTCTTTCAACAGGAATTTTTATTTAGAGTTTATAATCCAGGGGCAGCAGGGTTGGTTGGTTACCAACCAACCATCCAACCAACCAACCAAGGAGCTCAGTTGGTTAGGGGCCTGCCTTCAGATTAGGTCATGAACTTAGGGTCCTAGGATTCAGCTCCCCTCTGGCTCCCTGCTCAGCAGAGAGCCTGCTTCTCCTTCCCCCTCTGCGGCTCCCCTGCTTTTGCTTCTCTCTCTGTCAAATAAATAAATAAAATCTTTTTAAAAAAGTGTTTATAATCCAAGTTTGTAGCAATTGAAGGACATCGTGCCAGACTAAGTGTCAGATGTAACTGATGAGTCAATCCTCCAACCCTATTGATCATAATAGAGAAAGTTATTTCCTTGATTATTCCAGCCTTTTTAGCATGTGTTGGTGCCAGGACTGAGGCAGGAGCTGGATTCCTACCTGTAATTACAGTATGTGACAGAGCCAAGATCAGTGGAAGGTCAGAGACTAGGCTACAAGGTCGGATCCGTTATACTGTAATCTTTAGCTAGGCAGTGATAGAAAAAAATAGAAAAAACAATGCTGATGGATGGATTGGGTAAATACGGTGCACCTGTGCCATGCGATGGCACTATACAAGGGCCTAGGTAGGGGGGCTGCAAAGGAAGAAATGTCGGTCTTTCATCATACCTTCCAGTTGAGTTTCCTCCTTTATTACGTTAATTATTACATTTGTTACATATGTTATTAAATTCTTCCCATAAAAGAGCTTGTGCTGAGCCGGTTACCAAAGTCTTGTTTCCCAAAAAGGCACTCTATAATTGAGATGATTTATGCAATTGGAAGGGAGAATTCATCAGGCGACAAACTGTAGATCGTGACGAAGCCCAATCATTTCCAGTGACCTCAGATGCCCAAGCTGGATTCGGGATTTCAAGCCGAACCCTCGCCGCGGCGTGCAAGCCGGAGACAGACTCAGTTCGAGAGAACGGGGAGGATGGTTTCCGACGTAAAGAACCTCCAGTCCCAGAATCCCATCGGGACTCCAAATCCCAGAAACCCGGCAGGGCTAATCTATCCCAGTCCCCAGTCGGCTGACCGCGGACGCAACCAAGTTGGGAAACCGGGGTGAGATGCTGCCGTCTTGTCCCCTAATGTTTTCCCTGCAGGAAGGGGGCTTTGTAGGGAGAACTTTGGCATTCTCTCAGTCACAGCTCCCAAGAAGTTCTCCCTTCCGGCCCGTGTGATGTGACAGGCTGCGTCTCCCATCCTCTCTCCCCCTTTTCCTAGCCCCCGTAAGAATGGTGCAGCCGGGCGGTGAGGCTCCTTGAGATGTATCGATGGTTGCGCCCGCCCTCCCCCGGAATGTGGGCCTTTGGAGCGAGCGAGGTGGGAGGGACCGGAGTGGGGAGGCGTGCTGGGCCCGGGCGGCGGGAGGAGCCGCGCGGTTCCGGCTGCCCCGGCGAGGCGACCCTTGGGTCCGCGCCGCGGGCGGAGTGGACAGGTAAGCAAGCGGCAGCCGCGCCTCTGGAAGAGGCTCGGGCAGCGGAGTCCCCCCACGGCGCCCGGCGCGCCCCCCGCACCCTCGGCCTCCCGCGTTGAGGCGGGGGAGTAAGGAGATGCCGACCCAGAGGGACAGCAGTACCATGTCTCACCCGATCGCAGGCGGCGGCAGCGGGGACCATTCCCACCAGGTCCGGGTGAAAGCCTACTATCGCGGGGGGGTGTCCAAGAGTGGGGGGGGGGGGGGGAAGGGAGGGGAAAGGCCCGCTCCACTTGGACTGGAGGCGGGGAGGGTGAGGGGCTGGAGATGTGGGCGAATGGGTCCGGGCGGGAGCCTCTAGGGACGCAGGATGGGTGACCAAGTGGTCGGGGGAGGACCATGGGGCGCTGCGTTGGGGCACCCCAAGGTGTGTTTCAGGGCGCCCGGGAGTCGCGCGGCTGATGGCTCCGGACTAGGGTCCGAGGGAGGAGTCTTGGAATGGAGCAGGTCCACCTGGTGGGTTCGAGAGAGACTCGCCTACTAAGAGATTTACAAGGGCTTTACGTCATGAAGTCTGAATGTGTTTGGGGTTGCGATTTGATTCCGAGTGATGCCTCAGTGAACTAAGTTTGCTCTAGGCTTGAAAGACAGGACCGCTTTAGTTTGCTGGTTCTTTGGATTACCAGAAGGCCTAAAGCCTCTGGTTCTCTAAGTCAGGTTTACCTTCCTCGCCTAGAACTGTTCACAAAGTGTATCCGGACTGTGGTCAGGCTGCCTGTGTATTAGACATAGGAGTTACTATTTAAGAGTAAAATTGATGGTTTTTAGGGATGTGCATTAGGTACTTATGTCTCCCCGAGATTAAGCTGTATATGTGTAAATTAAAACTGTGAATGCTTCTTTGTCAGTGTTGCTTCAAGGACCATTGATGGGGGGAGATACTGCAAGGAGAGAAGATGAACCAAGGCATAGTTTTAAAATCTGTGATCTTTACGCATATTATTACCTGTTACAACTCCTGTGCTTACACCAGTAATAACCCAGTCCTAGTATGGTTGTATTAAATCATAGTGTATAATCAGTGACCTGATGGACATATCCCCCTTCTCTTGAATTCAGTTGTGGTTTGAAATACGAGATAATTATATTTAGTAGCTTTAGAGAGGTGAAATGTTAGTGTGAACATGAAGATTTGAAGTTAAGGGTTAACAGAAAACCCAGTGGCTTTGGCCTGTCTGATTGTTTGTCCAAGCAGAAGTAAATTGCTTAAAAAAAACTCAAGCACTAGGAGGTTGAAACTGCAATGCATACTTTTACATTCCGGAGGGGATCAGTGAAGATAGCAAACTTTAAAAAAAAAAAAAAAAAAAAGCCTCTCTTGTTTTGATTTCAAAGGAAATGGAAGCCCTAAAATGTGTTATTGGTTTGATATAACGACTTACTAGTTCTCTTGCTGCCATGTAGCCTCTGACTTCTTGTTTATTAGGTTGACTGTATTCAGCTGTAGTTTACAAGAATTATTTTGGACAGTATCAGTGTTTTTGCTTAAATTGATCAAGGAGGTCTTCAGTTTAAAACAATACCTAGAAGTGTGTGTGCCTGTTTTTTAAAAGTTTGTAGTGGTCCCAAGAGCTGTTTTGACTTGAATATGGTCAGCTATGAACTTTGCAATGTGGGGGAAAAAAGTTTTTGCTTCCTTTATCTTACCTTTAACTTGATAGATGAGGTATTTCACTTTACTTTTTTTTTTTTTTTTTTTAGAATAGTGACTGGTCATATAGGCTTTTTTCTTAAGTAAGATTTTATTTGACAGTGAGAGAGCACAAGCAGGGGGACAGTAGAGGGAGAGGGAGAAGGAGGCTCCCCACTGAGCTGGGAGCAGGACTTGGGACTCAATTCTGGGATCCTGGGACCACGACCTGAGCTGAAGGCAGACACTTGACCTGAGCTGAAGGCAGACACAACCGGCTGAGCCACCCAGAGAGTCACCTCACTTTCCATTTTACAAAGTTGACAGTCCATGAGTTATTAGGCCTAGAGAATGAAATATATAGTAGGTGTTTGGTTTTTTTTTTTTTAGGGTGTCTCATTATAGACATTTTAAAAAACTGGATTAAATGAATATACTCACATGGTAGGAATATGAAAATTGTACAGAGGTATAAAATAAGTGACTTTAATCCCATTGTCCCAACTTCCAGAGGTATGCTGTTAACAGTTTATTTCTGTTCTTCTGGCAGTTGACTTTATTACTTTAAAAGTTATACTGCTGTTTCATGATTCAACTTTAGATAGTACCTTTTAATCCCATCCTCTCAAAGATTAGAAATTGGGTGAACACTGCCTTTTGTTTGCCCTTCTCCTGGTTGGTGCTTCTCAATTTTTGATTGTTAAACTATTATTTTCAGTTCTTTGGTTTACATTTATGACTTTAAACAATATAAATTCTTTTTTTTTTTTAAGATTTTATTTATTTGTTTGACAGAGATCACAAGTAGGCAGAGAGGCAGGCAGAGAGAGAGGAGGAAGCAGGCTCCCTGCCAAGCAGAGAGCCCGATGCGGGGCTCGATCCCAGAACCCTGGGATCATGACCTGAGCCGAAGGCAGAGGCTTTAACCCACTGAGCCACCCAGGTGCCCCTAAACAATATAAATTCTTGTCTTATTAAATTTAAATAGTTTCCAATGATTTTAACTATGAAGAGGAAGAAATTTAGCCCCCCCCCCCCATTTTTACTGGTTTGACAAATGGAAATAGGCCTAGTTAGTAAATTAAAATTACCATAAACTTCTCCTTTGGAAAGAAATCAAAGTCTGTTATATTTCAGGAATGTAGGTGTCATATTGTCTTGGCTTATTGCTACAATTATTTTTATAAAAGACAATAAAAAAGAACATATAACCCTTTAAGTGCCTGACTAAAATTTCTCCAAAACATTCAAGTTAACATTTTATTTTTTAAAATCTATGAATTTGGGCATCTGGCTTCGGCTCAGTCATGATCCCAGGGTCCTGGGATTCAGCCCAGCATCGCGCTCTCTGCCTAGCAGGAAGCCTGCTTCTCCCTCTCCCACTCCCCTGCTTGTGTTCTCTCTCTTGCTGTGTCTCTCTCTGTCAAATAAATAAATAAAATCTTTAAAAAAAAAATCTATGAATTTTTGTTAAAGAATGAAAGAATCAATCCCTTGCCCTTTATTGCTTTTTATTCATTGAAAGCTTTCTAACAGTGCCTTCATTTCAATCCTCATTTAAAGACAACATCAGCACTCTCTAAATTGTACCAATTTCTGTCCCCTGAAATTAGATCTGTTAAGATTATATGTTTATTAACAATAGTCTAAACTGGTGGTTTTGATATTACATAGTCAGCTGCTCATTACTACAGATGAAACTAAAATGAGTCACCAGTGAGGGTAGCTAATAAACAGGTAGGCTAACTAGAACACCTACCTGATTTTAAAATAGAAAATTCTTCTTTTGTATCAAGAAATGTAAGGATAATGTGCATTTGAAAAAAGTTGCTATTCTTTCAGATCTTATGAAAGGCTATTATTGGAAAGTTTTCTCCTATCCCCTTGTAACAGTATTTCTTTCCAATGAACATGAATCTTGGAATAGCCAGAATTTTTTAGTGAATCAATTGCCTTCTCCTTTCAAAGACGTGTATAGTGTTCTCTCATTCAGTTAAATTTGTTCTTAGTGCAAATGTGACATCCCTCTAGATGTAACAGATTTAATTAGATTTTTTCTAGTTTTTAAGCAGCAGATTAATAGCATTGAGAATCCGACTGGTTTGGGGTGCCTGGATTGCTCAGTTGGTCAGTTGTCTGACTCTTGATTTTGGCTCAGGTCGTGATTTTGGGGTGATGAGATTGAGCCCAGTGTGGGGCTCTTTGCTCAGTAGGGAGCCTGCTTGATATTCTCTCTTCCTGTCCCTCTGCCTCTCCCCCAGCACGCACTCAAGCTTTCTCTCTAAAATAAATAAATCAGTCTTCAAAAAAAAAAAAAAATCTGACTGTGTCACAGCCTATACACCCTTCTTTCCTTGACATGGGAGTTTGTCAGTGAGTAGCCTTCCTTCTTCAATCATTACCTAGTAGTGTTAGGAGGAAGAGAAACAGGTTTTGTTGGTTAGTGATAAATTGCTATTGTATGTGCTTATCCTTATATTAAAGTTACTTGATATTATGGGATAGAGTTTAACAAGGAAATGTCTGGACTACTCATTTCATTTTACATTATAAATGTATGGGAAATTTTGCAGAAAGATTGTAAAAATGCTTTTTAAACCCACTGCCATTGAACGGTTATAACATTCTAGAGTATTCTTTTTGTGCGCATCTACAAATAGGAGATTAACTCCTTGTGTATTTGGATTGTATAGCTGGTTCAGTGAAGAAGTATGCAAGATTTTTTTGTGAACAAGTCTTGGCAAGACTTGTTTTTAAAAGTATTGCAAAATAATTCTAGCAATATAAGGCATATCTCTAGAATGTTCTAAGGAAATACAAAGAGTATATTGAATTGGGAGTTGGGGGAATGTTAGTTATTAGTCGTGGAGCTTCTGGCATGGCACCTAACCACAGGACAACTCCTCATAGCTTTATCAGAGGAGAAATGACTTGGTGGCCTGGTGCCAAAAACCAAAATAGCTCTCTCAGAAATTTGAATCAGATAATACAGAGATAAATTGCTTGGTAGCAGTGAAGACTGGAGCTGCAGAGTTAAGGGAGAGGCTAGTGAGGCCAGCACCAACCAGGTACAAACGTCAGGTCTGAGAAAGCAGAGGAAGAGGCAGCTTTCTGTGAAAAAATTCTTCCTGGAGGTCCATGAGAGCTTTCTAGTACAACTCCCAACCCTCTTGTTAAGGTAACTTGAGTGTTTGGGTTTTTTTTAATGGTTGAAGTGAGCATAGTGAAAACCTGAATTTTTAAAATTCCAGTCTTGCTTAGGATTTCACGTATTACCTAAAGTGTGTTTAAACTCACTTTAATAAATATTGTTGAATACCTGCTGCCTACTCTAAGGTAGGCACATGGTGCTAGGGTGGACAGAGGGTGTAGAGGTGGCTAATCTAAGGCTCTGCCCTCAAGGGACTGAGGAACTTTTAGGAGGACAGACATAAAAGAGTTAATAAAGGAGTGTGTATGTGTTTATGTGTAAGGTCCTTGCAGGGATGGATATTGGGGATGGATCCTTCTAGAGGATGAAGTGTTTGAGGCTTTTAAAGGATAAATAGG